GAGTTGTCTTCAATGAACCTAAACGAGCACATGTCACTCCACTGCTAGTCCGTTTGCACTGGCTGCCAGTTGCTGCTCGCATCAAATTCAAAACTCTGATGTTTGCCTACAAAGTGACTTCTGGCCTAGCACCTTCTTATCTGCACTCACTTCTGCAGATCTATGTGCCCTCCAGAAACTTGCGTTCTGTGAATGAACGTCGCCTCGTGGTTCCATCCCAAAGAGGGAAAAAATCACTTTCGCGAACGCTTACGCTCAATCTGCCCAGTTGGTGGAATGAACTCCCTAACTGCATCAGAACAGCAGAGTCACTCGCTATTTTCAAGAAACGACTAAAAACTCAACTATTTAGTCTCCACTTCACTTCCTAAGCTGCAATTGCCTCTTTGAATATCACACTAATTGTACAAAAAAAAAAAAAAAAAAAAAAAAAAACTACTAACACTTCCCTTCTTAGACTTTACAGACCTGAAACTTGCCTTTAGTACTTATTCATTGTTGCTCTTGGTTGTGTAAATTGCTTCCTTGTCCTCATTTGTAAGTCGCTTTGGATAAAAGCGTCTGCTAAATGACTAAATGTAAATGTAAATGTACTCGAATGCCTAAATTATAGCATCTCACCATTTATTTTACAGCATTAAATATTCCAGCATTCACCAAAAGATAACTCCATGAACATCCACCATAGTCTAAACTGAACTTTATACATCCACTAACACCAAAATGTATAGACATCCTCCATAAACCAACAAAAGAATAAATAACCAATCAACAACTGCCTACCAAAAAAGACCTGTTTTTTCAAGCATGTGTGAGAATAGCCTTGAAAAATCAAACTATAGCGAAAGCATCCAGGTTTCTCTGAGAGAGAGAGAGAGAGAGAGAGAGAGTGTGTGAAGTGGCCGAGCTCATGTTTCCAGCCCGAATCCATCAACAACAGCAACAATCCTACAATCCCCCATTTGCCGACACGGTAATGTCTTAAGCCTGAACGGCAAATGAATATTTTTGCAAATATATTGCATGATTTTACAGTACAGGGCCTTCAAAAAAGATACAAAAGTGCTAAACCGAGGACAATAATCTCTCAGAAATCATCCAGCGTGACCTACATCAGTTTTCATTTCACTTTTTATGCACAAGCGATTGCGACGCCGCTTCGGGGGCCGCGGATGTAATATCGATCGCGCGTGCTTGCCAATAAGTTTTCTTTCTTTTAACATTAAACGGCACAAACCTGTAGTCTCACCTCAGCCAAACCCAGAGCAGATTAAACTCAGTGTGTTGACAGAAGGATCTCATTAATTTTCAAGGATGAAAAGGAGTAGCCACTCGTCTGAAGGGAGCAGTGCATGTGTGTGTGTGTGCGTGTGTGTTTAATGCCTTTGTTTTCTTGCGATGTACTTCTGTGATGCTCTAATGAGGGCCGCGGCGCTGATGCTTTGGCACACATGCCATCTGAAGCCCAGTGAATCAGTAATCACTAGTAAGCGTAAATACGGGTCTCCTTGGTGAGAGCATCTTAAAGGAGAACACATGGCACGGCATGAAAGGAGAGCGCGCTTTTTCACAATTCAGACTAATTGAGGACAACCGAAAATGTAATTGGCTACCTCGAAGATAACTGAAGTAAATCAGCAAGTCGTGTAAGACAGCTGCTTTTTGAAGAATGAATACTAGAACATGTGAAAAATAAAATAAAAATTAGTTGTTGTTACGTTGGAATTCCTAGGGTTTTATTTTAACGGTCTAGGCGCAAAGTCTAAAGTGCTGGGAGCAAAATCATTAAGGGCGTATCTGAATCAACTTTTCATTCATTCATTCATTTTCTTGTCGGCTTAGTCCCTTTATTAATCCGGGGTCGCCACAGTGGTATGAACCGCCAAATTATCCAGCAAGCTTTTATGCAGCGGATGCCCTTCCAGCCCCAACCCATCTCTGGGAAACATCCACACACACATTCACACACATACACTACGAACAATTTAGCCTACCCAATTCACCTTTACCGCATGTCTTTGGACTGTGGGGGAAACCGGAGCAAACGGAGGAAACCCAAGCAAAGGTAGGGAGAACATGCAAACTCCACACAGAAACGCCAACTGAGCCGAGGTTCGAACCAACGACCCAGCGACCTTCTTGCTGTGAGGCGACAGCACTACTTACTGCGCCACTGCCTCGCCCCTGAATCAACTTTTGCTATTTAAATATGCTCTATGCCATGGTACATGGTCTAACACGGTTGTGCTTATTCTCTTAATGAGTTATGGGGGTGTTTTGAGCAGAATGTGCATTATGTCACACCACTTCTCTATTAGCTTCTCTGGCTTCCGGTAAAGTTTCATATTGATTTTAAAATTTTACTTCTAACTTTCAAGGCACTTCATAATCTTGCTCCTCAATATCTGACAGAACTTCTCCATATTTATGCCTCTTCATGCACTCTTAGATCTGCCAACTCTTTCTCTGTGGTACCACCTCGCATCGATTAAGCACAATCAAAAGCAGGTCTATTAGCTCTATGGCTCCTCGGCTATGGAACTCACTACCCCTGGATCTAAGGAGCAGTGATAGTCTTCACACTTTTAAATCTCGTCTAAATACCCATCTTTTTTAACAGGCTTCCATTAAAAAAATTTTTTTCATGTTTTTTTTTTTTTTTCATGTTATTTTATGTTTGCGATGTGTTTATGCCTGCAGCTACTTACAGGCATTTAGAATGCTTGTTTGGTCTTTTTTTTATTAATTGTTTTAATTTGTTCTGGGATGGCTGTTGATGCTTATTGTAAGGCAACCTTGGGTGTCTAGAAAGGCACCATTTACAAATAAAATGAATTATTATTATTACTATTATTATTATTATTATTATTATTATTATTATTATTATTATTATTATTATTAAACCAATCAGAGTCTAATATCTCATTCCCTTTAAGAGTCAGTTGCATTATGCCATGGCGCATTGGCTATTTACATGGCAGACTTTGACAGTGAAAAAACTGAACGCTTCACTAGCGAGATAACAGTTAAACAGACCATCTGCAGCGCTAGGATAAAGAATGAGTCTCCTCCATTTGGCCTCTTTACTTTTTCTTTACTTTTACTCTTTACTCCTTTACTTTCGTGGATAAGAAAATGTTGTTATACGCACTCCACTGAAGTCATCCATTAACCTAAATATTTAATTTAATTTGTTAAGCGCAAAGATTTGTTTCAAAATTATTTCTAAATTCAGTTCTAATTTTCAACAAACAAATACATGAACAACAAGAATTGTGCTCAGTTCTATCTGAGTTATCCAAACACATTTTCTATTCTAATGCCCCTAACAGTGATGCAAACGTCTCCAAAACACGACACTCTAAACTACAGACAATCTAAACTTGTTTTTATTCAAACAAATATAAATATGCATATAATACTGTAATACTGTTAATAATAACAACATTATACAAATGCAAACTGTCATGAATAAACTGAAAAAATCCCCCCGAGGTGAAGGCATGGAGGCAGTGGTTTATATATTTATTAAATTTTTTGTAACATTATAATCCTTTTTTTTATTTATTTATTTTTTTGTAAAAATATTTGTGTATCACTTTACATGCTGTGTGTATTAAGCAATGTTTAAGCGTTTGGACTAACGTGCTTTGCGCTGGACTTTAGATGAGCTTTTAGTTGGTCAATGGCATGATCTATTTCAGTTCCTCAAAATAACAATGCACCAACAATGTGCAGTAACACACCTATTTTTAGACCAGCACACCCAAGAGACCTCAAAGTGGCGCAAATGGATTTGCTATTTTAACAACGTTGCGCAAAACATGAAAATTGCAGTTGCTATAGTCTGAAAATCATGCCTGTTGTTATTATTAGTGTGCCGAGTGTGTGATAGGACCCCTTTAGTGGAGTTGTATTTTTATATATATAGCTACTAATAAACTTTATAATACTTTAAAAAATACTTTAAACAACATAAAAATCATTTAAGGTGAATTACATTCACTTTACAAGTCAATGGTATTAAGTTAAACTGATTTTAAAATGTTAAATAATATATGACTTATATAATAATACATTTAATTATCTTTAACTAAGCTCATGTTATATTGATCAGGTCATTTTACTTTAGTATGTATTAACATTTTGAATACTTTCATATTTCCATTCCATTAGACAATTTGGTTCTTCTGCTTTATTTATTTATTTATTTATTTATTTATTTATTTTTATTATTATTTTTATTCATTTATTTATTTATTTATTTATTTGTGGTTTTGTCATTTTCATTGGGTTTTTATAACATTTTTAGACTTTTTTGATAATTTATGATTTATATGCTTACTTTTTATAAATATAAATATAATTGCATATAAACAATGTGTTTATTTCAGTTAAACAAAACCAGTTTTATTAAACATATTTAATAAACTACACGTGTGGTCACCCAACATCTTTAAGAATAGAAAGATATAAAATTCAAATAAGGTTTTACCATTAAATAATTAACTAAATGTGATGGTTTAACGGTTATATTCTTTTTTTTTTCATTCATTCATTTACTTTATTTTTGGCTCAGTCCCTTTATTATTTAGGGGTCGCCACAGCAAAATGTACCCCGAACTTATCCAGCATGTTTTACGCAGCGGGTGCCCTTCCAGCTGCAACCCATCACTGGGATACGTCCATACACACTCATTCACACACATACACTATGGCCAATTTAGCTTACCTAATTCACCTATAGCTCATGTCTTCTGACTTGTGGGGTAAACCGAAGCACCCGGAGGAAACACGCCACGCCAACACAGGGAGAACATGCAAACACTACACAGAAATGCCAACTGACCCAGCCGAGGCTCGAATCAGCGACCTTCTTGCTGTGAGGCGATCGTGTTACCCACTGCACCACCGTGACGCCCCTCTTATTTATTTATTTTTATTTTAATTATACTTGTCATCTAATATACATATGTGTTTGTTTCTTGTTTCCCCAATAGTGTCTGCCCAGTTTTGGCCCGTACCTGCAGGAAAAGAAGGAGGTGATTGCGAACCACAAAAAGAAATTGAAAAACTACAGCAACAATCCTGTTTCATTAGACAAAACAAGAGTCTATACTCTCAAGGCTCCTGCACCAAAAGTTAAAGTGGGTTTTGCTTCAGTTATGCACTGGCTAGTTTTATTACTGAAGCTCAGAACTGAATTTGCTCTTCAAGGCCTTTGACCTTTAGTCTGAACTTACCATATGTTTGTGCTTTCCTGCTCAGGATATGATCGGCAAAGCCCTGAAACACATCGGTGCTTATCAGGAGCTCAACATTCAGGAGCAAGTGCAGGCGTTGATCGATCCGGAGATGTGCATTAACTGTGGGAAGTGTTACATGACCTGTAACGACGCTGGATATCAGGTGCGTTTGCCCACACAAACCCTGAGCGAATGGCCTCCGGCTGCTAAATTACAGCTGCTGGACTCTCCAGAGCTCAGACACTTTAGATAGTAGAGTTATAAGTCAGAAAATAACATGTCCAGCTCACCGCAGCTAGCAGTTTCCCCTCTCTAGCTAACAGAGAGAGGTTTGTGCTAGAACGGGGAAACTGCTAGGCAATAAAATGTGGTCTAGCAGTTAGCATACATGCTTAGCATTCTGTATGAGTTTTAAAAAAAAAACATCAAACTAGGCTAAAAGGAAAAACTTGTCTTTGCTAACTTACAGTGTGAATCAGTTTTTAGTTGAAATGAACACTAGTAGCAGTAAAACATCTATAACTTTTATTCATTTTGACGCAAATTAAAGTATACATATTTTTGCACAAATATGTTACCACCTGAAACATTCACAATAGTGCTTGGTTTTGAAACTAATACATTTTTAACATTACATACATAATTTTTAAGTTTTCCAACATATAGTATACACTGTAAAAAAAAAAACTAATTTTACAGAAAATATCCTTACATTTTTACAGTAATTTTTTTTCATTTCACATTATATTCAAAACGTAGTAAAATGACAACCAATCTCTCTAAATTAACCGTTTGACTTTCATTTTAGGTACTTTATTATTAAAGACAAATTACTGACATTTGTGTTTTTTATACAGGGAAATTACAGTATAATTTATATAGTATTTTTTCTGTTATTTTAAATTATATTCAAAAGTTTGTAAAAACTACAAACATAATCTGTAAATTAACGGCTTGACTGTTATTTTATGTACTATATAAGTAAAGACAAATTACAGAAATTTGTCTGTTTTTTTACAAAAAAATGTACATATTATTTACAGTTTTTTCCTGTTTTTTAAGTACAGTTAAAATTACGTAAAATTAAAGTAATAAATTGTAATTACTTGCTCTGTAAAAAAAAATAAAAAAATCATTAAAAAAAGGTCAAATGACTGGCAGCTACGGCTGCCAAACAAAAACTATAAAATTACGGTAAAATTTCTTTGTTGAAAAAATGTGCAAAAAATAATAAATCTACAGATATTTTCATAAAAAAAAGTTTACAGAGAAACACTGTTATTTTACAGACTTTTCCTAGATTATTACGATCAAATCCATTTAATAAAGTAACACACTAAGAGTGCTCACATACACCTGTTTCAGATTCCGCCGATTGCACACACACAGTCGGAGGATCGTTATGAACTGATTAAATGCACTTTAAAAGCAGCACAGACGCACGCACCAATTGCTTAGTCTTGTTATACTGCTACTTTGAACATTATGAGGCGTTTCTCTTCTTTTGCCTTGCTTTGTTTGTTAATTGTTTACGTTGTTTGCTGCCGGGACTGACCATTTGCCTGTTATTTGACCATGATTCCGGATTCCCTGCAAAATGTTACATCTGTTTGCCCCTGTGTTGACTGTTGCTTGCCTTTAGATCTGCACTCTTTTGTCAGCGTCCCCTTCATGTTACAGTTCCATTTCATTTAAGATCTGTAACTGAATCATTCCATAAAACTTAAACCTCTACATGTTTCACATAAACACTATTTTATAAAATGTAACAACTGTAATATTAAAGTTGTGAGAATTTTAATCAGTTGTATCTCGTTTGTTGTTTTTTCCCAAAATTTTTTGATCCAAAATAAAACTGTTAAATTGCGATCATGAGCATGTCTTGGCATGTTATTAAAGGTGTTTAATCGTAATGATTTAGGGAAAATTCTTTTAAATAACATTGTTTTCTCTTGAACTTTTAGAGCAGGCACTTTATTGATGATGTTTGATCATATTAATCTAGGAGAAGTCTGTATAACAACAGTGTTTCTTTGTAAAACTCTTAGTGTATACCTTTATTGAATGGATTTGATCGTAATAATCTAGGAAAAGTCTGTAAAATAACAGTGTTTTTCTGTAAACATTTTAATGAAAATATCTGTAGATTTATTATTTTTTGCACTTTATTTTAACAAAGACATTTTACCGTAATTTTATGGTTTTTGTTTGGCAGCCATAGCTGCCAGTCATTTGACCTTTTTTAAACGATTTTTTTTACAGTGTAGCAGTTAGTTAGCTATAGCTAACAAAAAGAGCTTTTACTTTAGCAAGAGCACTGAAAATATTCCACAGAAGGTGCAAAAAAATTTAGCCGAATGGTTAGCGAACATGCTTAGCATTCTGTATGTCTAGCAACCCAAGCTCACTGTAAAAATGTGCCTCTGCTAAATCGCAATTCGCTTCAGTAAATACTGGACTGGCATAGCATATATATGTTTGTCTTTTCCAACATAATAAACTTGCTTAGTAGCTCGCTAACAAAAGGAGTTTGTACTTAAACGGAAACAGTACAAACATGCTTAGCATTCTGTGTAACAATCCTGACTCATTTTAAAAAAACAAATAGCCTTTGCTAACTCAAAATGTGCTTCTGTTTTTAGCTAAAGCAAACAGCTAAATTGTACACTATTGTCTATCCTGAAACAAAAAGTGGCAAAAAAAACATTAAATAAATGAGTGCTACTATGGCGCCTCTTACTGGCATGCTAAAGACGGCTCATTAGCATGCCTGATTTCCTCTTTAGAGCCTCTAATGAATATTACCTCTGAAAACGGCAATGTCCCCTTGTGCTTCAGCCTGCAAAAGTGAGGCAAGCGGGACGGCTGTGACAGTTTTATTAAAGTATTCATCTCACCCTCTCCTGTTAAATAAATGTCCCTTGCAATTTATCATAAGGGTATTGATGAAGTAGAGTGCGGGTTTTATCAAAGCAGTAATTGTTCACCGTGACGCTCATTGTCTGTGAGTGGATCTCTAAGAGGAATTACACATTATTAATGCTTTCTAATATAACGGAGCATTCATCAACATAATGTGTCACGATCAAATAGGTGGCCCATCAAGCAATACAAAACAGCACTCAGTCGCGCGAGCAGCAATCCGGTTATGTTTGAAAAGAGGCCCGTACTCGATTTCACCTGCCAAAATAATGTGTAATCTTCCTGTCATATAAACACAAGATTTTACTGATTGTTTGAACAGTGAAGTGGAATGTTTAGATTGACGGGAGTTTCTTACTCTGCTACAGTTTATGCATGTTTCTCTATGATATATAGTAAAATTTAAATTAAAAATTGAAGGAAATGACTTTTCTTGTTTTTATTTAATTTCTTCTTTTTCTTTTTCTTTTTTTTTTTTTTTTGGGGGGGGGGGGGGGGGGTGGGGGGTCTTTAATGACAGGGAAGTAGCTAGTCATGAAGTGAGTATTAGAATATTGATAAGGTCCACAAGCCAGGATTCAAACATAACACGTTTTTTTCACAAATTCTTACTATGAGGATTTCAACATTCTGAAATGTACCCCTGTATACATTTTTTGAGGTCGGGAATTATGTAGCCAGAATTATTTATGGCTGCATGTCTTCTTTAAAATGAATGCTATGGGGTGGCATGATGCCCTTTCTTTATGCGCTTACCAGCTTACGTCCGTATGGACAGCTTTCCCGCTATTACCAGTTTGCCCATTGGCTCACAGTGTATGTCGGCAAAAGAGTTGACCTTGATGACGAGGTTCGAGTCTGGTGAATAACGAATCCAAAATCAGGTAAGACAAAAACAAAAGCCAACAAAAATAAACTAGTAAATAACGGTGAGAATGTGGTAAAATCTGACAACATGGCACTCGCGAAAGAATTATAAGATCTTTAAAAAAGTAGACAGTGACCTCTGGTGGATTCGTGAAAACAAAAACTGCAAAAAAAGTTACCTCCTAAGAAGTATTTGGCACTCTCCAAAAATGTATATGGGGTACGTTTTTAGAAAGAGCCTGGGTTGAAGGATTTTATTATCTTGATCTTGAATAATGATATAAAAAATTGTAATTACAATTCTGAATAACAACATTTTCATTTAATATAGTACTTTTGCAATTTATTACAGTAAAATATATATTACATTTATTGTTATTTATTAATATTATTTTTGTTGTTGTTGTTGTTGTTTTTATTATTAAACAAGTTTAAATTTAATGACAATGTAAAATACAATTTAAATAATGTATAACAGTATATTTTATGTTGTTTTATTATTATATTATATTATATTATATTATATTATATTATATTATATTATATTATATTATATTATATTATATTATATTATATTATATTATAATGTAGTTGCTCAGTAAAATAATAAATACTACTAATAATAAGTCATAGTATTAGGATTTTTTTAAAGAACCAAAGCCACATAATTTAAATATTATGGTATGCTTTACAATTACTTCATAATATTTTAAAAGAATAATATTAAAACAAAATTATAGTGCTTCATTTTACTTAAAAATAATAATAATTATATATATATATATATATATATATATATATATATATATATATATATATATATATATATATATATATATATATATATATAGTGTTTAATTAAATTGATAGCAATGTCCCCATAAAAACCATGCCCCTTTTGAAGGCCATTATTTTTATTACTTTATTTTTCCATTATTTATATTTTGAGTTTGTCGAAGGTGTGAAATACAACTCGCGTGACACATTCTTGACAGGCTTCACACATGTCTGTCGTCGGCTGCAGCTTCAGTATGGTGTGTCGTCCAGCAGAAGCAGGTTGTCGCCTCTGGTGAGGATATAATGGTTGTAATGTGTCTGTGTGTTTGGCAGGCCATTGTGTTTGACCCGGACACTCATCTGCCCAGTGTTCAGGACAGCTGTACCGGCTGCACCCTCTGCCTCAGTGTCTGTCCTATCATCGACTGCATCCGCATGGTGGACCGGACAGCACCTTACGTGCCCAAAAGAGGCCTTGTAGAGCCTGTGTGCTGAACGCTGACAAAACGGAGAAAAATGTCTATCACAGCATCCAATTTACTCCAGGGGTCTGTAAAAACAGTCAAAAAAAGTCCTCAGTCCTCAATTTCCCTGGATTCACAAGTAAAATGTGTTCCAATTTTTTGAAAATTACTGATGACATTTCTTTTAAATTAAAAAAAAAATCATTTATTTTGTCTCTTTTAACTAAATTTTTATATAAATTTTTAGAAACTGCAGTATTGATGTTTTAAAGGGGACCTATTATGCCATTACATTATAAGATGTAAAATAAGTCTCTGATGTCCCTAAAGTGTGTATAAGAAATTTCAGCTCAAAATACCCCACAAATATTTATTTATAACTCTTTAAAAATGTCCCTTTCAGGCTTTATTCCAATTTGCGCTGTTTTAGTGATTGTTGCTTTAAATTCAAATGAGATTGTGCTCTTTTTAAAGAGGGTGGAGCTACAAATGCCTTTGCATCAGCGTAGTGGCAGATCCAAAACAGGACTAATGTTATCTCTGTGAAAAACTAAAACTGTCAAAAGAAGTGGCTTAGAAGAAGGCAGGGAATGGAGGCTATGGTGTTCATTTGGGCCTAAAACTCCACATTTATAGTGTTTTTTAACTGCTGACATTATCTATTTGGCAGCCATGGTGCAAAAACTCTACTGGTGGACGGCTGCTTCTCACTTAGGGCTGTCTATGCTAATGAGAGCGAGATCATCACTAATGGGTGGGGCTTTCCCCCTTTAATGACACATTCAAATGGAGAATGTCAATCAAAATGTTTCTCTAGAGGAAGTGCGATTATGAAACAAATATTATATTATATTATATTATATTGTATTATATTATATTATATTATATTATATTATATTATATTATATTATATTATATTATATTATATTATATTATATTCACACAATGTTACCACACAACTGTGTTTAAACCTCTTCTAAAGTGATTTTTGCATATTAGGTCTCCTTCATTTTCAGAAGAGTTGAAAAAAAAAAACAGTATTTAGTGGAATAATCTTGATTTCGAACACATTTGTTGTTATGACACACTTGTTGTGTCCCAATTCAAGCTCTTAATAGCTTTTGAAAAATGGAACAGCTATGTTATAATGCGTAGTATGTTAAAATGTATATTCCAACGTTACTTGGGTGATAAAAAACATAAGGCGCAATTATTCATAAATTGAGAAGCACAAATGTTTGTAAATCCCATGGCATAATTCATTTTAAATTAGATAAAATTATCTATATTATCTATAATCTATATCTATAATCTAAATTGTCTATATTACCTATGATCATCTATAAAAATTATATCTATCTTTGAAAGTCCTACATATGCAGGTCAGGCAAAAAAAAAAAAACTGTTATGTGCCTGTTTAGTCAGTATCGACAATACTGTTTTAAAGTGCACGTGAACAAGAAGTTGCTGAGACTTTTAGTTCTGTATGTCGATGGGCAGCGGCATGGTGGCTCAGTTGTTAGCACTGTCAACTTACAGCAAAAAGATCGCTGGTTCAAGTCTCGGCTAGGCCAGTTGGCATTTCTGTGTGGAGTTTGCATGTTTTCCTCGTGTTGGTGTGGGTTTCCTCCAGGTGCTCAGGTTTCCCTCACAGTCCAAAGACATGCAGTATAGGTGAAATGAATTAATTAAATTGTACGTAGTGTATGAGTGTTTGTGAATGATAGTGTATGGGTGTTTCCCAATACTGGGTTGGAGCTGGGAAGGCATCCACTGTGTAAAACACATGCAGGAATATTTGGTGATTCATTCCGCTGTGGTGACCTCTTAAATAAAGACTATGATTATTTAAAATGAATGTCGATGGGCTTCCAACTAAGCTAAATATTGAGTATGGAGCGGGGCTTTCTTTTGCGCATCATCTCCTTATATTAAATTAGAAAGGGGGATAATATGCAGTTGCTATGGAAGCCTTTAGGTTGATGTCAACAGAAGGACCATCTCTCCAAACCCAGAAGCAATTGGTGAGACTTTCATTGAAGATACCATTCATTCATTCACTTTCTTTTCGGCTTAGTCCCTTTATTAATCAGGGGTCGCCACAGCGGAATGAACCGCCAACATATCCAGCATATGTTTTATGCAGCGGATGCCCTTACAGTTGCAACCCATCACTGGGAAATACCCATACACTCTCATTTACACACATACACTATGGACAATTTAGCTTACCCAGGTGTACCGCATGTCTTTGGACTGTGGGGGAAACCAGAGCACCCAGAGGAAACCCACGCAAACCCGAGGAGAATATGCAAACTCCAACTGACTCAGTCGAGGCTTAAACCAGAAACCTTCTTGCAGTGAGGCGATTGTGCTACCCACTGCACCACCATGACACCAAAACAAAACAAAAAAATTCTGCCAATTAACTTGCATGGATTATTTATTAGAAATGTTACACTTTTATATATTTATTATTGATTAGTAAATCTGTTGTATTATATTTCATAATTGATGATTTGAGAAAACAATCCTTTAAAATTTGCTAACAAATAAATAAATCATATATGGTGAGCATTTTACATCTTTACAGTGTTTTGTTTTGCATTAGTGTGCTTTTTACAATCTTCCCGAAAGGTTATGTTCATTTCTATTAAAGCTGTGTTGATTTTGATTGGGAATGATGGTTTATGCTGATTTGGGAAGATGGTGAGCGCTGTATCCTTTAACAAGAGCCACAGTAATGGATCGTCCAGCTCGTCCAGAACAGAAAGCAATCACACATACAAGAGGTGCTGATGGAAAAAAAAACAGCAAATGAATGGATTTTAATTGAATGGTGGAGGGTTTGGATTGCAATCACACTCTGTGTTGTTTTACCACAACGTATGATGATTAAAAAAAGGTTTGCTATATATTATAAATTGGTCGATAGGTCGATCTTTTGATGGTAGGTAGATAGGTAGGTCGGTCAGCCGGTCGGTTGGTTGGTTGGTCGGTCGGTTGGACGGGCTGTCGGTCGATCGGTCGATTTTCTGGTGGCCTCTTCCAGCAGGATAAAGCGACATGTCATAAATCGCAAATCATCTCAGACTGGTGTCATGAACATGACAATGAGTTCACTGTACTCAAATGGCCTCCACAATCACCAAATCTCAATTAAATACAGCACCTTTGGGATGTGGTGGAATGGGAGATTCGTATCATGGATGTGCAGTTGACAAATCTGCAGCAACTGCATGATGCTACATGTCAACATGGACCAAAATCTCTGGGGAATATTTCCAGTACCTTGTTGAATCTACGCCACCAAGGATTAAGGCAGTTTCGAAGGTAAAAGGGGGTCCAAGCCAGTACTAGTAAGGTGTACCTAATAAAGTGGCCGGTTAGTGTATATTATTAATAAACTGAACACAAGAAAATCTTCTTAATTAACAAGAAAATATCATTAAAACCCAAAATACCTCTGATTATTTTGAATTTGATATAAATAACTACATTTGTACGTGCACGCACATTAATTTATTTTAATTAAAAAGAAAATAATAACTCAGTCAAAAATATCTCATAATTTAGCCAAGGAAATTTATACAATTATACATTATATTATTATATATACAACCATATTTAGAATATCAGCTCTTAATTAAAATAATGCTTAATTGTGCAAGAATATAACTATAACATGTATCAAAAATATCCCAGATCGTACCTCAATGAGTGGATAAATGTAATCACAATAAAGGTGCCTAGTTTAAAATATGCTTATTTAGAAAAAAAATATCATGATCGAAAATATCTCAAGTCAAACTTTTCCTCATTATTATATTTCCTATTATCTATTTCTTTATTCAGCGGCATATAGTTTGGCTTGCAATCACACGTGATGTATGATTCGATCAATTTTTAATGATGTTTGATTATTTGAAATACTTTTATTTTCCTGTTTGTTTCCTGGTGCTGTATTGATTAAAACAGAAGCTGAAAGTAAACCTAGTTTGCCACTTTTATTAGTAATTGACCTTAATTGTATTTATTTCCCTCTGGCCTTGATAACAGATATGTTGGATGTGGATTGTATTAGCCATCTGGACGGTCATTGAGAGCTGGTGTGGACCAGTAATATGCTGAACAATTCTAGTAAAGGTCATCGGTGACTATTTCCAGACATTAGAGATGAAGACTAGCTGTTATTCATCTTGGGCCCAAAAGGTCAAGTCTGACCACCTCTATCTCAACAAACGCACAGCCTGTCCAAACCACACATACAAGATCCTGACTTACTGTGTGTTACGATCCAACACGATAGATGTGGACTTTCTTCAGTAGACGTGAAAAAGAAAGACATATATATATAACAACACCCCTCACAAAATCTATCTTTAAATTCATATTTTTTTTAATAGGAAGCTAAACCATATATGTATATTCATTATATTCTTATTCATTAAACTGGTCAGTACTAAAGCCAAATCAGAAGCTTATCTAATAAAATAATTTATGAGGCCCAAAAACTACTAAACCTAAATTAAAATTTTATAGAAATATATTAAATACAAATTTTAAAAAGTGGAAAAATCAAGAGAAGCAAAAAAAATAAAAAATAAATAAAAATAGTTGAGATTTTTGGAATATTTAGCTTGAATTTAATTGTATTATCTTTCAATTTCTATTTCAATTTCTAAATATGCTTGTTGACTAAAATATTATTTTAATAAATATATGTTTAATAAACCTCTTTTGTTTAAATGCACAAAAATACATTGCTTATACTCACCGAGCAATAGATAAAAAATAAATACATTATTAATTCTTGTTAATTATTTGGGAAAGTGACAGAAGGTCAATTTTTCCAATGAATCATCTGTTGAGCTTCATCCCAATCATCACAAATACTGCAGAAGACCTATTGGAAGCCGCATGAACCCAAGATTCTCACAAAAATCAGTCAAGTTTGGTAAAGGAAAAATCATGGTTTGGGGTTACATTTAGTATGGGAGCGTGCAAGAGATCTGCAGAGTGGATGACAACATCAACAGCCTGAAGTTTCAAGACATTTGTGCTGCCCATTACATTACAAACTACAGGAAAAGGCAAATTCTTCAGCAGGGTAGCGCTCCTTCTCCTACTTCAGCCTCCACATCAAAGTTCCTGAAAGCAGGTCAGGGTGCTCCAGGAAATGGCCAGCCCAGTCACCAGAAATCAACA